ATTAATGAAGTGGTAATTGCTCCCTGCAACCTTCTCAGGGAAAAGCATGCTGGTGTTTGCATTATCTTCATGCAATTCATAATTGTGTATTCAAGGACTTGTGATAGCTTGTCAAATTAAACTACAATAAGAATTTTGTAATTAAAGTCATATTTTACATCAAATTATGAAAATCTCTACAATTATGCTGTTTGATGTTTAGCCATAGATGGTTTATCATAAAAGAAATTTGCAAAGGATCTATTGATCAAACTAAACCTTCTTTTATTCCTATGAGGAAAGTTTGATTTATAAATGTAGAGTGAATTGATTTTTTTTCTCAAGTCAAAGTGTCATAGTCTAACTGTCTGTAAAGACTCAGAATGTCTGTAAAGACTAGGACCATGGTTCAGAAAATTTGATGTTTAACACCAGAAATTTTTAGAACACTAAGTACAGTAATTTTTGCTTCTAAAAATAAACCTATGCTTTAATTTTGCATTCCATGTGACTTCATTACTATAGATACCTTGGCGTGAACTTGTTAAAACCAAGACTCTTCCTGCTTGAGTTTCCTCTGAAAAGATTCTTGTGCAAGCCATACATGTGTGTATCTTAATTGTGAGGTGATTTGGAAGTTACAGGACAATTTTGGTTCTCTTCCTCTACCATGTTGTGTTCTGGGGATTGATGTCAGGTCATGAGGACTGGTGGCAAGCACCTTTACTGGCTAAGCCACCTTATGACTCCTGGTGACGATTATAAAAAAATATATAATGTGGATATTGACTTTCCTTATATTAAGATACAAATGTCTATGTTATTTCTAATGGTATCTATAATAGCACCAATGTGTTCCTTTTTTGAACTTATTTTGGTTATAACAATGAAGTTAAACCAATATTTTCTCAAGAAAATTTAGCTCATGTTTCAATACTTATCTCTAGGAATGTTTTTAAAAATAAATGATGCTCTTTTCTCCTATTGTTTCATAACATTGTAGGTGAGAAAGAAAAATAATAATCCAAATTGTGTTTCTCACATTTGCAACTGTGTTTCTCCATTGACCATTTTTTTTGATCATTTGAACACTTCAAAGCAAATGATTTGTATTTCTTGAATGAGACTTAAAAGTTAAAGAAAACAGTGTATTTCTTTTTTCCTTTAATTTAAAATAGATTTTTTTTTCACATAATAGCTTCTGATTATAGTATGGGATTATAGTAGATGGAGATCTACTACCAGCTTCTTTCCACCTCCCCTCCCATGTGGATTCACCTCCCTTCTGTCTTTTATTAGAAACAAACAGATTGTAATGGATAATATTAAAATATAAAAGATAAAACAAAAACTAATACATTGAAATTGGACAACACAAACAAACAGATGAAAAAAGAGCCCAAGAGAAAGCACAAGTAACAGAGACCCACTCTTTGTGATGCCATTATGAGATAAGGAATTTACAATGATGCCGCTGAGCTAATTTTCATTGGCTATGTACTGCTGGGCATGGAACCTACCCTTGAGAGTAATTTGTTTCCTCAGTGAGACTCCCTTGGAGAAAGTTAAATTTTCATTTTCAAGTAATTATCAATTAGAGATTGCTTCTGAGTTAGGGGTGGGGTCATGTGCCCACTTTTTTCAACTCTAGGAGCCTGTGCTGTGCAGGCCCATGCTGGCCCTGCGCATACTTTCTCCGTCTCTTTGAGTTCCTGAGTGCAACAATCATGTTAATTCAGAGGGCTTTGCTTTTCCGTTTTCGGTTTTGGTTTTTGTTTTGTTTTGTTTGTTTGGTGTTCTACACCATCTCTGGCTCTTAATTTTTTCCACAGCCCCTTCCACTGGGCTGTCTGCGCATTGAGTGGAAGGTATTCAATAGATAACCCATTCAGGGCTGAGTGTTATCACTCTGCATATTATCTGGCTGTGAGTCCCCACATTTCTTTTCACCTGCTCCAGAGGGAGGTGTCTCTGATGATGGTGGAACAAGGCATTGATGCATGAGTATGGAATCACTTTATTGCTATTCTTTTTGAATGGTTCTATTTGGTTTTACCCTAGGACCCTGAGATGTCTAGTCTCAAGTTCATGATCGCTCAAGCAATGTCAGGTGTGTGCTCCATCTTGTGGAGTGGGCTTTCAGTCACATGACATATTAGTGGGATACCCCCACAAACTTTGTAGCACCATTGTCCTAGCATATCTTGTAGGCAGGATGTTATTGCCAAAGGGTTTATAGCTACTTTAGTGTTTGTTACTCCTTTGATAGCATGCAGAGTACCTTCCCGTACCAAACGTGCTAAGATGTAGGAATAAAGGATCTATGTAGATACTGGCTCAACTTCTCCTTTTTCAGTGAGTTGTGTAGGTGTCTTCAGCGATGGGGCTTTGCTGTCTGTATGTACAGAGCAACCTATACTCTTGGCAACAACGTGGATTGTTCAGGTGTTTCCAGGGGGCTCCTTTAGCCAATAACTCAATTAGACGTAAGCTGATCCTGGTACTGGAGGCTTCCTTTGATATGACAAGCGTTGACCAGCTGTGGTTCTGACTCTCATTTGTTGATTTCATTTAGCTCACCTTCTTATATGCTTATATTTTAGGAATCTTCTACTGTATTAGGTTTCCATAATACCCCCATATGGCTCATAATTGTAGCTATTCTCCATATATTCAGTACCTCATCCCTCCCTTCCTCTCTCCCCTTCTACATTATATCCTCCCATTTCAGTCCTCCCAAAGTCCATTCACAGATGTATGCTCTTTCTTTCATAAGGAGATTTTTCTGTTTAACCCTGCACGTTTACTTTATACCTAACCTCTGTGGTTCTACAGATTTTGGCTTGTTTACCAATGACTTAACAGTTAATATTCACTTATAAATGAATACATACCATGTGTGTCTTTCTGGGTTTAGGTTGCCTCACTCGGGATGCTTTTCTCTAGTTCCGTCAATTTTACTTGAAATTTTCAAGATTTTAATTTTTTTCAATGCCTAAATGCAAGTTACTAAATTTTCTTCATCCATTTTTGTTGTTGTTGTTGTTTTTGAGGGACATCTAAGTTGTTTCCAGTTCTGGGCTGTTGTGAATAGAGCTACAGTGACCATGATTGAGCAAATGTCCTTGAGGATCCTTTGGGTATAAGCCCAAGAGTAGTATAACTGAATCTTGGGGTAGATCAGTTCCTATCATTCTAAGGAACCACCACATTGATTTCCACAGTGACTGTAGAAGTTTGGACCCCCACCAGGTTTACACAAGTGTTTCATTTATTCCACAACCTTGTCAAGATGAGCTGTTACTTGTTTTATTGATCTTAGGCGTTCTAATAGGTGTAACCTGAGATCTCAAAGTAGTTTTGATTTGGATCTAAGATGACTAAGGATGTTGACTATTTCTTTAAGTCATTCTCAGCCATTTGAGTTTCCTTTTGAGAATTCTGTTTATATCAGTACCCCAATTTTAAATTGGGTTGTTTTCTTGATTTCTAGAATTTTGAGTTATTTATTCACTTTGGATATTAGCCCTCTATTGAATGTGTAGTTGGTTATAACCTTTTCCATTCTGTAGGCTGCTGTTTTGCCCAAATGACAGTGTTCTTTGCCAGGCAGAAGTTTCTCAGATTAATGAAGTCACATTTATTAATTACTGATCTTAGAATCTATGCTAATGGCAATATTCAGAAAGTCTTTTTTTCTGGACCTATAAGTTTAAGGCAATTTCCAACTTTTTCTTCTATTAGATTCAGTATATCTGGTTTTATGTTGATGTCTTTGATCCATTTGGAATTGGGTTTTGTACAGGGTGACATGCATATGTTTGGTTTCTTCTACACTTAGCTATCCAGTTTGACTAGCACTGGTTGTTGAAGAAGCTGTCTTTGTTTTTGTTTTGTTTGTTTGTTTTTCTGGTATGTATTTCTGCCTTCTTTACCAAAAATCAGGTGTCCATCTGTGCAGATTTACGTTTGAGTCTTTTTTTCAGCTACAGTGATCAAGTGTGTGTCTTTGTGTTAATGCCATATTTTAACTTGCTTGAATAGAGATACCCAGTGATATTTTATATTATTCAAATATACTGTGAAAAGTGTTGTTTTTCAATGATATCTTTCTCAGTCAATTTATCATTTGCATATAGGAGGGCTACTGAGTCTGTATCTATCTACTTTGTTGAAAGTCTTTTTCAGTTGTACTAGTTTCTGCTGGAATTTTTAGAGTTACTTATTAACACTACTTTATTATCTCTAAATAAAGATACTCTGACTTTTTTCTTTGTATCCTTTTGATATTTTCAGTTTTCTTATTGGAAACAAATTTAAGAAGATAAGTATAATGTACACCACAAGGATTAATTTCCAAAATTAAAAAAATAATTTCTAACAATTTTTTAATCTACAAATAAAATAAGGGACTTTGCACATTATTGACAAGACTCTACCACTGAGCCATATACCTAGCACTAACAATAATTTCTTTGTCATATATTACATAAAAAGGAAGGTTTAGTTCATTTCTGAAAAGTCTTGAAAATCAAGTTTTGCAAATATCAAGAGCTCTAAATTTAGTAATTTTATTTTAGGAAAAAAATTAAAATTTGTTTTAGAACATTTGATGAATAAAATTGACAAATGAATTATGACCAAATCACTGGCCATCATTCATTCCAGGTTTTGTTTCATCTTGCAATATTTGGCTTCACATGTTATCTTGTCAAGTGGCCATTTCTTAAAATTGCTAAAAACCTGCAGTCCAAGGCAAATGTATTTATTCAGTTATGAGCTATTTTGTGTTATTGAATTCACTAAATCTGACCAATAGCAAACACACCCTAGAGGTTCAGGAGCTGGTCCACAGACCCCAAATATATGTATATGTATATGCATGTATGTATATACCTATGTATTATTTGAAGTCTTATTTATGCTGTCATGTCACTCTTGTGATGCCTGGGCATCCTTGTGTGCTCTCATTCCACTTACCTCACTAATTCTGCCTCTCTTTTTTTACTTTGATGCTTCAGTGGGAAGAGATCAGTGGCGTGGATGAACATTACACACCCATCAGGACATACCAGGTTTGCAATGTTATGGATCACAGCCAAAATAATTGGCTGAGGACAAACTGGGTACCCAGAAACTCAGCTCAGAAGATCTATGTGGAGCTAAAGTTCACACTACGGGACTGCAACAGCATTCCATTGGTTTTGGGGACTTGCAAGGAGACCTTTAACCTTTACTACATGGAGTCTGATGATGATCATGGTGTCAAATTCCGAGAACATCAGTTTACAAAGATTGACACCATTGCCGCTGATGAAAGTTTCACTCAGATGGATCTCGGGGACCGCATCCTGAAACTCAACACTGAGATTAGAGAAGTGGGACCGGTCAACAAAAAGGGGTTTTATTTGGCTTTTCAAGATGTTGGTGCTTGTGTTGCATTGGTGTCTGTGAGAGTATACTTCAAAAAGTGTCCATTTACAGTGAAGAATCTGGCAATGTTTCCAGACACAGTGCCCATGGACTCCCAGTCCTTGGTGGAGGTCAGGGGCTCCTGTGTCAATAATTCCAAGGAGGAGGATCCTCCCAGGATGTACTGCAGTACAGAAGGTGAATGGCTTGTCCCCATCGGCAAATGCATGTGCAATGCTGGGTATGAAGAACGAGGTTTCACATGCCAAGGTAAGAGCCAGAGTTCTCCTTTCTTTACAGCTGAATTTGTCTCCTGTGAGTTCATTTATTATAAAGTAAAAGAAATAAATTAATCTAATCTGATTTCACTTGGCAGCACAACAGAATGACTAGTCAATTTATATGCTAAATTTATCCTGTTTGATGTGTTGATTCATGATCTGTTGTGAAATATTAATGGGTGTAACTCTGGGGTGCTGGGCTGCACCCTGTAGAGGTGTCATCTGTGCTTTTTTCTCATTGTACGTGAATTTGCTTAGTTAGTTTCCAGGATGCATGTATACTATGGTGCATTTGTGAAGGCACTGAGACTGCTTGAGGAAGTGGGTTCTCCTGTTAACATTTGGATCCTTGGCACCAAACCCAGGGTATCACGCACCTTTACATGGCGAGCCATCTTCCTGGCTTGAGGTGTTTTTTTGAGGTTTGCTGGAGAGCTAATGATTGATGGTGGCCTAACTGCAGCCATTGAAGTGAAATACACCTGCCCCTCTTGACACTGAGGGTAGAAACGTCTTTGGCATTGAGCTAATCTATAACACAATTAGATTGTGGTGACTATATTTGGGTTCGATTATCTTGGAAATAGTTGTTAATATTTATAAAGTATGGCATGTTATTCAGTGAGAGTTGACTGCCAAGTGGATGTTTAAATGCTATAAGAAAAAAAAATATTTTTTTCTTGGAAATGTTTATTTTTTATTTTTTATTTTTTATTAATTCCACTTTATTCATTTTGTATCCCCCCATAAGCCCCTCCCTCCTCCCCTCTCGATCCCACCCTCCCTCCCCTTTCTGCATGCATGCCCCTCCCCAAGTCCACTGATAGGGGAGGTCCTCCTCTCCTTTCTGATCTTAGTCTATCAGTTCTCATCAAAAGTGGCTGCATTGTCCTCTACTGTGGCCTGGTAAGGCTGCTGCCCCCTCAGGGGGAGGTGATCAAAGAGCTGGCCAATCAGAAAAAAATATTTTTAATAGAGGGATAATGTATTTGTAGTTACTTATTGTGGTGTGATTTTTTTCTGGTGTGGTGGGAAGAGAATATAAAGTTCTGTGGGTAGAGAGGCAGGAAGCATCTTGGAGCAGTTGAGGGATGAAAAACATGATCAATATATATTGTATGAAAAAATTAGATAAAGATATTTTAAGAAGAAAATTTTAAATTGTAAAAATATTATCGTTCTCCAATAGTTTACTTAAGACATATTTATTTCCCCTGAGTTATATGTAATGTGTATTTTATACTTTGAATAATATTGGAGAATCTAGATTTTGTCATCAGTTTGAAGTTATTTTTAAATATGTGTATTTGATATAAAAATAACTTACATATATTTTTACCAAAATTGTATACATCAGACATGTAAGATTATATAATTATCAGGCATGTAAAATTATACTTCTGTTACTTTCATTTTTTCTAATTAATTAATTAAGGTTTTTATACTCAAACACACTGAAAGTATCAATTACATTAAGGGTACAAATACATACATGAATATTAGTTATCACTTTTGTTTGCTGGTAGACTGTGTCTACAGAAAAGTCTGCTACTCAGCTGATGAACAGACATAATCACTGTTCAGAAGCCCACGTGAAAGAAGTGACAAATATCCATATAGCTTGCCCTTTACAAAATGAGAATACATCACAGCATATTTCATTTGATTATGGGCATGGCTTATAAAAACATATTAAATAAGGAGCGAGGAGGGTGGCAGAGTGGGAAAGGTGCTGTCTGTGCAGGCATGAAGGCCACTCACATAAAAGCCATATGTGGTGAAACTCACATGGAACCTCAGTGCTGGCACCGGGAAGAAAGGAAACCCTTATGTCCTAGGGCTTGCTGGTCACCCAGCGCAGTCAAGTCAGCAAGTTGCGTGTGCTGTGAAAGACTCCCACTTCAACAAATGGTGGCGAGCCATAGAAGAGGATACTCAGTGTAAACCTATGGTTTCCACATGTCCACTCATGTATGATTGTACCTACTTTCATGTGCAAACTCACATATGCAGACAAATGTTTACACTCTAATGTATTGAATAAGCACAAACCGTATACTCTAGCATCCTATTTCGTTGTGTTGTTTAGAAGTAATTGTCACCACTCTGCCATTGTTAACATGTCTTTTTTTAAGTTCTAAAATTAAAAATAAATGTATATTTACATTTTATTGACATTAAGTATTAAAGAAAAAATCTTTATATTCTATTTGAATTTTTCTTTTTTCAATAAGATATATGTTTATGGTCTATGGTATTGGTGAAAATTTACTTTAATTAAAACTATAAAGGACTACTACCTCGAAAAACATTGAAAATCTGTCCAGTTTACAAATATTTATTATATATTTGCTTTGTTTTCAGGCTGATATTAAAATTAAAAGATTGTGCGTATGTTAGCCACTTACTACATTTCAGGCATTATGCTGCTCTGCTAAGCATTGTCAATGACCTACTATTTTATAACTAATACATGCATACTGTCTTCACTTCACAATGCAAACATTAGTTGCATATGTTTTTTCAATTTTTATTATTTAATTTTGTAATGCCTAGTAGTATTTTGCCTGCATGTATATCCGTACACAATATAGAAGCCTGGTGCCCAAAGGATGTGAGTTGTGAAGTCCAAGGCAATTGTGAGCCAGCATGGAGGTACTGGAAACTGAACCCAGGTCTCTGGAAGAGCAGTCAGTGCTCTTAATTGAGCCCTTGTTTTTGATTTGAAATTCACACTTTGTCTTTAAACATCAGTCCTTTTGTATTGAACTAGAGATAGGTAACCAGATGTCGTAGACCTAAAGGCTAGGGTCTCAAAGCTAGTCCACACTGCTCTCTTGTCTTTTTGCATAGTGGTGACAGACAAGGAGAAATACAAGTGTCTGTATCATATGCATGTAGTCTGAAGAAAACAAAGTCCACAGACTTTGCACCAAGTAACCCCAAATCTATTATAAGTCTTATATGCATCTGCTTACTTCTTCTTTTTTTTTAATTCTAATATTTCTTTTTTTTAATTTTATTTTTTTCTTATCAGTTACATTTTATTAACTCTGTATCCCAGCCATGTCCCGATCCCTCATTCCCTCCCAGTCCCTCCCTCCCTCCCTCATCTCCACCGTGCCCCTTGCCAAGTCCACTGATAGGGGGGACCTCCTCCCCATTCATCTGATCCTGTTTTATCAGGTATCTTCAGGACTGGCTGCAAAGCTCTCCTCATCTGCTTACTTCTGACATCATTTTTGTTTTCAGAATTTTAAGGATGAATTGTTAGTCAAAAGACAACTTTGGGGTTCTATAAGCCTTGTCTGGGGGCAACTAATGAAATCTGGATTTACATATTGTTATTAGTCTTATGCTTATGAAACAGTCCATGAAATGCAATTCAGTAAGTGTTCCTCATAATCTATTAGTGCAAAATAATAATACGCCAGACACAGGAGGAACGTAGACTTTCCAGGAGCTCACAGTCTACCCAGAATTACAGATGCATAAATGAATGTTAGCAGAAGACAGACCAATAAATAACAGAACAAGACTTGCTAGAGTAGGACAGGAAGAGATGAATATGAAGAATTTCAAAATTAAACATAAAAATTGGTAATTAATTGTGGGATGGTGTTGTGTTGTTTTAGACTAGTTTCTTGCTTACAAAGTTTTGGAAAAGAGCTGTCCATAGTGAATCTTATGTAGTCTAGAAGATAATTTCCACTTGTCATCATGTCATTATAAATCAATCTCAAAAATGTATTGAAGATACATGAGAGTCCCTGCCACATAGAGAACTTCAGAAAGATTCAAATTTCATTTATAGGCTGTTTCCTAACATAGCTAATGAAATATAGCAAGTATTTTTCCAATATAAACAGATAATTAGGACAGTCAATGTTTAGTGATGTGAATGATGAAAATATGACAACTTCTACTTAACAGGACAATTACACTGATAAAAAGCTTTTGTAGCCAACAAACACGTCCATCAATTTTCAAACAACGAAATGAAACAAAATAGCAATCTCCAGAGGCAAAATTCAAAGTATGGAATTTTTAGTGTACATAATTTATATTTTTACAGCAGTCCAGTTTTTCTATATTATTAAACATTATTTGGCAGTATCATTCGACTGCGAATTTAATTCAACATTTATTGAGTCATTAAGAGGTGCCAAGCTCCAGATTGAACACTAGAAATCAAATGACAAATATCATCATTGACAAATTATTGTGTTTTGTACTTCTTTAACGGATATGAAGGGGCTGAGAGATGGAACAGTTATTCTTGCACAGATTGGTTTGTAGTACCCTTTTGGGGCATCTTCTTTTCTGTTTGTTTGTTTGTAGATATATTCACATCTTATTTAAAAAATTATTAATTACATTTGATTCACTTTGTATCTCAGCTGTAACCTCCTCACTCACCCCTCTCAATTCCAGCCTCCCTCTGTCATCTCCTCCCATGGCCCTTTCCAAGTCCACTGATAGGGGAGATCCTACTCCTCTTCTGTCTGAACCTAGGCTATCAGGTCTTCTCAGGACTGGTTGTATTATCTTCCTCTGTGGACTGGTAAGGCTGCTTCCCTATCAGGGGGAGGTGATCAAAGAGCCAGCCACTGAGTTCATGTCACAGACAGCTCCTGTTTCCATTACTAGTGAATGCACTTGGAGACTGAGCTGCCATGGACTACACCTGTGCAGTGGTTCTAGGTTATCTCTATGCATGGTCCTTGGTTAGAGTATCAGATTCCGAAAAGACATCTTTGCCCAGATTTTTGGGTTCTGTTACTCCCCTTGTGGAACTCCTGTCCTCTCTATCTCTCTTTCATCTCTCCCTTCTTTCATAAGATTCCCTGCACTCTGCCCAAAGTTCGGCTATGAGTCTCAGCATCTGCTTTGATACCCTGCTAGGGAAAATCTCTCAGTGGCCCTCTGTGGTAGGCTCCTGTCCTATTCCCTGTTTTCTCCATTTTCCGATGCCCATACCTTTTGTCT